CAATTCAATAGGATTTATTTCTGAGTGAACGCAGACTTGTCCTTGCAGTTAAACTCTTGCAGCCTAGAAAATGCATATGGAAGAACTGGTGGGGTGGAGAAGAGATTGAATATATTAATATATTCCAGGCAGAATTTGCATGCTATGGGTGATATCTACATCAGTGATGGATAGGTGTCTTTCTGTAGCTCTAACTTTAACCCCCCCCCCAAAAAAGCATTGTACTGTAGTTCATCTTACCTGTTGCTTCTAATAAGATTAAGAAGCCCATGAGAGACTGAATGTCATGGCTGCCCTTCATAACTGATTCTCCAACTTTCAACGCAAACATGCCACTCTCAACCACTGCATCTTATATAAGCTGATTAATGTTACATTCTGATTGTACATTGCTGTTTTTTGTTCATTAACAGTGAACGTCAGACATAAGAGCAAAGTCACCAAAGTCATTTTTTAAAAGAAATATTATGCTTGCAAGCTTCGGATAACTCAGAACTATGTTCTTATGGCCATTCCCAATGGAACAGATGACCTCAAACACTGATGATTACATGCCTAGGCTACTCATGATGGTAAATGTAGATCAATACCATGTAGATGTGGTCATTTAACAAGATAGACTTCTCCTGGGTTCTGCACTGCAAATGGGAATGACTACCCTGCTCTGTTCTTTCATATGTATTCTTTATGGTGCACATTTCGACTTTGGTATTGGGGGCAAGGGAGTGTTCTGTGCCAGGGACAGGACTAAGCACTGCCTCTATCTTGGCTCCTTTTAATTAAATGGCTCAGTGGGGACTGGTGAAGGGATTGGGATAAGGGAAATAAAACCTCTCATCTCCTGCACTGGAGGTGTGCGCCATACATAAGGCCGCTAGCAGAGAATGCAGGAGGAGGAGGAGGAAGAAAGACTTCTTGTTTTTATTGTTTTATCAATGATTGCCACATAGTGGCAGCAGTAGACAGATACTCAGTGTCTGCCTGTGGTCTGTTCTCTCTCCAGCTACTTTTTAAGAAAGCCCACTCCCCATCTGAGTTGCCCCTGACGGTGGCCAAATAATGCTGAATTGTGATGGACAAGAAGCAGAAAATTATCACTTCACATGTTATTCATGCTTGCTGGCCTTGGTGTTTTATTTTCCACATCCTCCTGTGGAAAGAACCATTTGCTGTGCCATGGCTGAGGACGGCTAATTTTGCTGTTCTGTTGAAGTCGGGGACATTTTTGCTATTAGGCTTGGCATTTGTACACCTGCAAGGCTGCATGGCAATCTCTTTGACATAAAAGGGGTTTAAAAGACTTTTATGAACACATAACCGAATGGAGACAGCCTGTACTGATTTTTCTGTCCGGCTGGAACCATGCGAAACTTTAGAATCAGTTTTTAGCAACATAGTTCACTGTCCAAAAATAAAATGCCCACTGTTTTAGATTTTTGCACGATGCCCTAGAGTGATGCTACTTTGGGACGTGGTGCATAATTAAAACAGTGGGTGGTTTGAATCTGCCCAACGCAGGTCATAACACAGCTGCCTGTCACTCCCTGGGGCGGGGGGCGGGGCAATGATGTCAGGAGCCCCCACCAGACTCTGTTCTCAACTTGAAGCCAACCCTGATGCCGTATCACAATGCTTTACAATACTGTTGGCACACAATGTGAACTCCCAACTGAAAACACAGATTCCAAAGTATCAAGGATTTAAATGTGTACAGAGGTACCTCAGGTTACATACGCTTCAGGTTACAAACTCCGCTAACCCAGAAATAGTGCTTCAGGTTAAGAACTTTGCTTCAGTATGAGAACAGAAATCGTGCTCCAGCGGCGCGGCAGCAGCAGGAGGCCCAATTAGCTAAAGTGGTGCTTCAGGTTAAGAACAGTTTCAGGTTAAGAATGGACCTCTGGAACGAATTAAGTACTTAACCTGAGGTACCACTGTATTTTAAATTTGACCTTAATCTGTAATGTTTTGTTTCGATATCTTCCAGTGCTCTATTTGATGCTTTGAGTTGCAAACTGCTTTGAGTTTAAATTTAAAAATTATAAAACAATATACAAATGATTTAAATAAATAGATAGGTAAATAGTTTTTACTGTACATGGCCTTGTGTTATCTATATCTATATCAGTTGGTGGTTTATAAATGTTCTTATAAATAAATGAATAAGCATATCCATGGTACAAGCTGGCTATATGCAAAAGATTGATGAGAGGAACAGAGGAGTCTGCTGTACACTGAGTTGAAACTGCTTTATGCTCAGTCAGATCATTGGTCCCTTTAGCCCAGTATTGTCTACACTGGCTAGCAGTAGCTCTCCAGGGCTTCGTGCAGAAGTATTTCTTAGCCTGGGGATTGAACCTGAGACAGAACAGACGATCTCGGCCAGACGGTCTTTCCCTGTTCCCGAGGAGCTAAGGCATGTGGCAATGCTTAGAGGACTTATGCAAGCTGGAGTGGTATATAAATGTTGTGAAATAAAACAAATCAATAAAAGATGGTGGAGGATCTGCCACTCCATCCCAGGCCCATGGAATTACAGTGGGTACCTCGGGTTAAGTACTTAATTTGTTCCGGAGGTCCGTTCTTAACCTGAAACTGTTCTTAACCTGAAGCACCACTTTAGCTAATAGGGCCTCCTGCTGCTGTCGCGCTGGCCGGAGCACGATTTCTGTTCTCATCCTGAAGCAAAGTTCTTAACCTGAAGCAATATTTCTGGGTTAGCGGAGTCTGTAACCTGAAGCGTATGTAACCCGAGGTAACACTGTACCCTATTGTTCACAGAACCATGAATAGTTAAAGAATGGTAAAAGAGAAGATTCTGGGTTCAAGCTGCAAAGCAAGAAATCAGAGCTACATTCCTGATTCTTTCTTTGAAGTGGAGCAGTCCCAACCAAACTGCCAAAGGCAGGGGTGTTTTGGATCCAGTCTGCAGCTCAGATCCAGTTCTCCACTGATGCCTTGCAGTCAGTCACAGAATCTCAGGAGGAGCAAGTACTGGCAAGGCACACAACCTTTTCTTCACATGAAAATATAGCAGTTGGTTTGGAGGCTCCTGCTTGGATGCTTTCCTGCTACGTGAAGCCACGGTCATCTTCAACAACAATGGCCAATAAGGCAGATGATGGTGACAAATTTAGGGCACACTCAAAGCCAAATTTAAGTACATTAAAGTGCAACTGAGTTTCACTGCAGACATTTCAAGCCCAGGCTTAAGCACTTTCAATCAAATGCCCTCTTCTACTGAAATCAATGGGAGTTAAAAGTGAAGTATGGCTGGATCAGGCCCAGCATGACTAACCCTGTCTGGGATATTTCAGGCACTCATCCACATGGATGCATCAGGAGAACGAGGGTTTCCGAGAAGTAAAAACCGCTGTTTCCCCCCTGCCATTTGTAATGTAATTTGTGGATAGCAAAAGCCAAAAATGGAGACTCCCGGCAATATTTGTATGCCATTCTTGGTTTTTACAGCTGCCATCAGTCAGGACTTGTCACAATCTCGATTATTTTTAAGGCACATTAGGCATGGTCAGGTATTCTGTCTTTTGGCATTGGACCTTGTTGGGGGGAGGCCAAGATTTAATGGAATGACTTTCTAATTATGGGCCTGCTTATAGAAATTCATCTCCAACACCTGTTTCCTGGGAAGCATCAAGGAGAGGATGATGCTGATAAATGGGCCGGGGGGGGGGCCTTTTGTACAGCACCTAGAGCGACTGAGTGTACACACTCCTTTGTGCAGTATGCAGTATACACAGCATATACCCAATGGTGTACATGCACACACACGTACACACAATGCACACACATATATCCATAGTAATATAAAGCATTCACATTGCTCTATATCTGTCACGATTCTCATTGATTTTAATGGGGCGTCCATGTGCATAGCTGTGTATTCTGGCCATAGTATATTATTCCTGCTCCCAGTAATAGCAAGAAGATAAAGGTCATATGGGAGGGGAAGGATCAGAAGGGAAGAACTATCCCAGCACCAGCCCCTAGGTGGCTGAAGGGGCAGCAGTATTAGATGCTTCTCCCCACGTGATCTTGTCCCTCCTGTATGGTCTCTATTCATTCACTTATGTTCCCAGGAGCATTGTAGGGTGTACCCATGGGGGACTGGCAGTCATCCTGCTCCCCCGACTTAAGGATCAGGATTTGGAACAGATGCTTCACCAGTTCATCTCTGAGGCTGGTTCAAGTTGCATATTCTGACCTTTCAAGTCCTGCATGGCTTAAGGAATCCCTGCACCAGACACCAGCCTGCCTGGATGGTGAGGCCACTCTGTTATATCGTGCTGTTCCTTCACTTATGTAAAAATGTAGTAAGCCAACCCTACTGCTTGGGGTGGGGGGCATCCTGCTCATTCTGCTGAATGGGGCCATGCCCTAAAGTCCAGTGACTTTTCCTTGGCCAACAGTGTAGAGTGGGTGACACCCAGTTGTGCCCAGCCCCAACCACAACAGCCTTCTGCTTGCATAACAGAACTTCCCTTTTCTCTCCTTCTCCTTGGTGCCTTCCTCCTTCCCCCAGATCTGGAGAACTCCCTTTGCTTCCACCCACGCAAGATGGTCTCACCCATCCAGTTTCACTTCGACCTTTTCCCCTTCGAAACTTTTTGTTTGTTTGCTTCATTGCCTTTCCCTGAAACCCGGATACTGCAGCCACATCAGGGGCGCAGAGCTTAGCATCACCATCACTTTAAAGAAAACCTGACCCCCTTGGGTTCCTCCCTTGAGTGGAAAGTTTGATTATTGGTTAAGATCATTGAATTTGGGGATATTTCTTTCCATAGATTTAACACCGAAAGGGGACGCAAAAAGGAAAGGAGAGATGGGGGTGGGGGGTGAGAGAGTGGGGGCCGGAGAAGGAAACAAATGGGGGAGAAGGTGTTAATGGGAGTATCGACCGCTAGGGGCCGATCGCGAGCTGGAAAACCTGGGGAACAAATCAGACCTAGCCCCGCCGTTTGTCCGTCAGTGGATAGATACGTAAACACAATTGAGAATTGGGCAGGCGACTTCTGCAACGGGGGACCGGGCAAGAGAGCGCAGCGCGCGCGCCGCAGCAGACTTGTTCCCAGAAGAATGTTGAACTAACTGATGCGCAGCGGGCGCTTGGATGGGGTCGGAGAATTCCGGGATGGGATAAAAAAACGCCACCCTCTATCGATTAGCATATAGATCGTTTTCTGTCGGGGTTAGGGAGAGGGGGGGAAACGGTGCCCAGGAAGAGCAACAACAACAACAACAACAAGTGGACGCCGCCAGCCGAGCGACTGACTTTGCACGCCGAAATTGGGAGGTGGTGGGGGGAAAGGCGAAGGGGCTGCAGCTTGGAGCGCGCAAGCCGGGAGGAGGGAGGGGAAGCGCCCCCAGGCAGCAGCAGCAGCAGCAGCAGTAGTAGCAGCAGCGCATCTCCTTTGTCAATCCTTGCAAGAGCAACAGCCTGTCTGGGCGCGAGAAGGGATTGTTGGGAACGGGTGATTTGCAACAATTGCTCAGCTCCAAAAGAGAGGAAAGCGGGGAGGTGGGGGAAGGCTGAGCTTGGAAAAGAACAGCGAGCTGTACACGCAACATCCATAATCCGAGACCATTGCAGACAAGCCCCGGCGCTCACCCCCTACCCCCGCCCCATTCTTCGTCCCCAAAGAGCCCCCCTCCTTTTTGTCAACTTCTGGGGTTTCTGCACATCCTCCTCGATTTGGTCAAGATCAAAGCTGAAAGGAGTGGCAGCCGGGTTTTTTGTGGTGTTTTTTTTTGCGCCCGGAATTTTGCATCGCCCAAAGCCTCCAGGAGTCTTTTTGTTGTTGTTCTTGCCTCGGCTCGCCCAGAAGAGAGGAGAAGGCGATTCGCCGTCGCCCCTCCGCTTTATGCGCCCCCCACCCCTCCCGCGCCGCGCACCTTCCTCCTTCGGAGCGCGGCACCTGCGAAAACAGGTTGCCCAGAAAAAGCCTCCCCGCCCCCGCCGACCAAGATCTCTCGCTCTCTCTTTCTCGTTTTGCAGATCCCGAGTGCTGCCTTTTCTCAGCCCGTCGCGGTAAGTAGACAGCAATGCCTCCCCACGGCCCCCTCCCCGCATGATGCTTAGGGGTTATATGCGCTATCTTTAAGAAGATTGTCTCGGGAGCATGTTTTTAAATGCTAAGTGTGTGCGTGCGCGCGCGCGTACGCGTGTTAGAGCTTCATTGCCCCTGCTGTTTGACTATTCCTCATGCAGCACAGCCACCCTCTTATAATATTTCCCAACGCTCGCCTTTTGGGTGAAAATTGCCAGCATCAACTTCCAAGAGCGAAATTTGATTTTTAGCGAGAGCTGGGATGTTCTTTATACCTAATGAGTTCCAAAGATGTAGCATGCAAGCTGGCGGACTTGGATTAATTATGTATTCTGCTATATAGGTATTGTTACAGAGGCTAGGTGGAATTTATGTGTGGTGCTCTCATGATCCAATTATTCATAATACGTCTGCATCCATGCATTTGTGGCCATGGTGGGTACCTGGAAATATTTCCTACCTAGATTTATGCAACCCACAATTTCTCTATTGCATGGACAATAGATGTGTGTGTATGAGAGAGAGAGTGAATACCTTTGTTATCCAGAGATTAAAAATGACAGTCTAAATGTACATTGCAATATAGATTTGCAGTCAAATGCTCTGTGTGAAATAGTGTATGGAGACAAACCATACATAGCTATGCACCTTGCTGCGTTGTGTGCAGGAACACCTAGTCTGCATTCATACCTATGCTATGCACAGGTATATTTCTACATATATATGCAATACAGAGCTACATCTCTGTTGCAATAGAGATTTGCATTTGAAATCCTCTCTCTGGAGATAAAAGAACACTGTGTGAGATGTGGGTGTGTATATGCCTTCATATTCCTCAACTATATCTATATATAGACAGATGCACACAGACACAGAAAAACTGTGCATGCAGTGTGGGTGGGTGTACAATAGTAGGGAACGATGAGGAGTGAAAGTAGGCAAATCTGAACCCTTTAATATGAAATACCATCACGTGCATCTATAGAATATGACCCATCCTTTTCTTTTGTCCCCCCCCCCCACTTTTTTTTTTGGTCTGTGTGCATGTATGTGTTTCAGGATAGACATTTCTACTGCATGAGAGTAACCAAAGGGTGATCCACTCCTTCCTCTCCGATGGGGAACTCAGAGCCAGCTTTTCAGCCTTCTTGTTGTTGTCCTTCTCTGGCCGCAGTCCCTCCTGCTGCTGACTTGGGCGATGCTTTCTCAAGCTTAAGACGTTGCTGACAGATTGGCGAAAGCGAGAGTGTGTTCAGACCTCCGCACTGTGTAAACAAAGTGAAGACTGGAAGTTCCTTCAACTTTCTAAACAGCTGTGTTCACCAGCAATTTCATTGCTAGGCCAAAACATCATGTGGAGGCAATTCTGGGGATGTTGGCTATTTTGCACTTGATTGTCCCGAGGAACTCAAGACCAGTGTTTGTTCTCGAAGAGTTCTTACTTTGCTTAGGTGCACTCCTCGCTTGATTCAAAGTGTCCACAGAAAATCATGAACTCGGACCTGTGGATTTTGTGTGAGCCACTGAAGAATACTGTAAGCAGTGGGATCTCAAGTGTAAAAGGACATGGTCCAGGATTATCTCTTGACGACACCAGAGGACTTTTACAAACACACCTCCATAATTTGTCTCGCACCTTCTGGGCAGTAAGATGTGGAACACTTCTCTTTGGGAAGTAATGCAGAGTGAAAACCCAGGTTATGCTAACAAGGAGGGACAATGCTTCCGAGATACTGTTTTCCAAACCTCGGTGGTCACGCTCTTCTCACGCAAAACACCCAGTGATGACTATTGAGAAACGGGACATTTTCTTCCCCTCTTGAGTGTCCGTAACAAAGAAATCCAACATGGAGGTTGCAATGGTAAGTGCAGACAGCTCTGGGTGCAACAGCCACATGCCCTATGGATATGCAGCCCAAGCAAGAGCCAGAGAAAGAGAGCGACTGGCACAGTCCAGGGCGGCGGCGGCGGCAGCTGTAGCGGCTGCAACGGCTGCTGTAGAAACGGGGGTCTCTGGAGGAGGAGGACCTCAGCACCACTATCACCAGGAACAGAGTCGTGGGGCCTCCTCTTCATCCTGTGGTGGGAACACATCACGTAGCAGTTATCGTCAAAGCAGGAGGAGGAAGGAAAGGAGGAAAAAAGCCTACTGTCTTGGCAGCAGGGAGTTTGGTGCCTCTTTCCCCTGCTCTGATTTGCTGCCCCTGAGTGGCTCAGAGGAGAAGATCCTGAAGGACTTGAGTGAGGAGGACGAAGAGGAAGAAGAGGAGGAAGATGACGGGGAGGATGAAGAAGACGAGGAAAAGAAGTTCTACTGCAGTGATGAAGGAGGTGAAGATGAGTATTCGTTTTCCGATCAGCTTCCTGATGATGGTGCTGGGCCCGGCGGCTACACTTCCGTCCGCTACAGCGAGTACGAATGCTGTGAACGAGTTGTCATCAATGTTTCTGGCCTGCGGTTTGAGACTCAGCTGAAGACCTTGGCTCAGTTCCCCGAAACACTGCTGGGTGACCCGGCAAAGCGGGGCAGGTACTTTGACCCTCTCCGGAACGAGTATTTCTTTGACAGGAACCGCCCCAGCTTTGATGCAATTTTATATTACTATCAGTCCGGAGGACGTCTGAAAAGGCCAGTCAATGTCCCCTTTGACATTTTCAGCGAGGAGGTGAAATTCTACGAACTCGGGGAGGAGGCCATGCTGAAGTTCAGAGAGGATGAAGGCTTCGTCAAGGAAGAAGATGACAAGGTACTGCCTGAAAACGAATTCAAGAAGCAGGTGTGGCTGCTCTTCGAGTACCCTGAGAGCTCCAGCCCTGCCCGAATTATTGCCATCGTCTCGGTTTTGGTCATTTTGATCTCCATCGTCATTTTCTGCCTGGAGACGCTGCCGGAGTTCAGAGATGAGAAGGAGCTGATTTTGACCTACAACGTGGAGAATGTGAATGAGACGTTGCAGATGCCGGGCGGGGGACACACGATTTTCAACGACCCCTTCTTCATTGTTGAGACCGTTTGCATCATTTGGTTCTCGTTTGAGTTTACAGTGCGCTTCTTTGCTTGCCCCAGCAAAGCAGTCTTCTTCAAGAACATCATGAACATCATAGACATTGTTTCCATTTTGCCTTACTTCATCACCCTGGGTACAGACTTGGCGCAGCAGCAGGGCAGCAACGGCCAGCAGGCAATGTCTTTTGCCATCCTGAGGATCATCCGCCTCGTCCGGGTGTTTCGCATCTTCAAGCTCTCCAGACACTCCAAGGGTTTGCAGATCCTGGGCCACACTCTCAGGGCCAGCATGAGGGAACTGGGCCTCCTGATCTTCTTCCTTTTTATTGGCGTCATTTTGTTTTCCAGTGCTGTTTATTTTGCAGAAGCTGATGAATCTCTCACTCATTTTCACAGCATCCCAGATGCCTTTTGGTGGGCTGTTGTGACCATGACTACAGTTGGTTATGGGGACATGAAGCCCGTCACTGTTGGTGGGAAAATAGTCGGGTCCCTATGTGCCATTGCAGGTGTGTTAACCATTGCTTTACCAGTGCCAGTGATTGTCTCCAACTTTAACTATTTTTATCACAGAGAGACCGAAAATGAGGAAAATACCCAGCTGACACAAAACGCAGTCAGCTGTCCGTACCTTCCGACGATACTCAAGAAAATCCGAAGTTCGTCATCTTCGTCCATGGAGGAGAAATCAGAGTATTTGGAGATGGAGGAAGGGGTTAAAGAGTCTCTTTGTGTGAAGGAGAAAAAGTGTCAGGTCACAGGAAACGGCAGTGAGACAGCAAAACAGAACTGTGTTAATGCAAAATCTGTGGAAACGGATGTTTAACTTTGACTGTTTCCAAACCTATTTATGCATTAAAGTGCACATTGGTTTTTAAAAAAATGAAATATGCAAACAGGAGTTTAAACAAGCATATAGAAATATGCCATTTACTTGTTAAACATGAATTACAAAGCATTAGTAAACTTGTATTGCATATCAAGTCAATGATATACCTTGTGGAGGGGGTTTTACCTGAAATAGTTTCAAAGTTTATATTTTTACTAGAATGCAGGTGTTTTGCACATGAGGGAATCAATTTTACTTTTAAGGAGGATGTGTTTATCCACCTCACTCACTGCCCAGTGGTAAAAGTTAGCATTTCAAGGTATTTACTATGTAAGAAACAATGAAGTTCAGTAGCCATGCATTCATTTGTTAACGCTTTAAGAACAGCTACCATGATTCAGTGGATTCCATAATCTTTGATTTTAAAATGCTAAAGATGGTTGTGGGGGAAAAAGTATTCTATGGAAACTTCAAATTTGATCTTAAAATATTTAAAGAATCATTGTTTTTTTAAAAACAACAACAACAAACCAACCAACCAACCAACCTGGATATGTAATTGTTGAAGATACTACCAAACCCCCAGAAAATGTTTATTTTTATAATGCTTTTTTGGAGACCTTGTGGCATTTGTTGAGTAATACATGGAAGAATTGAAGTTAGAAAATGATTTAACATGGTCTGGATGCAGTGGAAAAGTGACTGGATTGCTTTTTTTGCACTACTTTATATGCTGGAGATATTCTGACAGAGACTTCATACTGTGAATGTTTACTAATGTTCAATGACAATCATTGGAAGGGTGATTCCTGCATATTTATTTTCTTGTATTATTTTTTGCGCGATGCTGATTGGCTAAGCAGCTGACTTTACATGAATTCCATAGTCTTTTAATTATGAATATCTGCTATCTGAACAAAAAAGGATTGTGAAGTAAAATTTTATAATCATTTCCCCCCCTAAATCAATCTTCTTCAAACCATTATACCAAGTAATAATAACAAACTCACTCATAAAAGTTGCTTAAAGGATAGAAAATGTATTCTGAATAGGGGTTGTGTGCGTGCGTGTGTGTGTGTGTGTGTGTGTGCGTGCATGCATGTATGTACATGTGTTTGAACTGGAGAAGCAGGGAATGGGAATCAAATATAGCAATAGCCATAGATAAGCAAATCCAGGGCAGAAAAGATTTCACAGGATCAGGTAAATGAGGTTGCAATGTGTTGTATGTTTTTTGTGTGTGTTTTTTTTACTACGTAATTTCACAATCAAAGTCTATGAGTAACAGAATGCACTTTGATATTGGTTAAATATTTCTGTGGACCAGACATAGTAATATACCGTTGAACTGGCAAATTGGGATCAGCAGTCTTTAACTTGCAAATGTGCTATTAGTGGGTCAGAATTTCTCCTCCCACCCACCTTAAATGCAGCATGCACCCTTCTCCGCGTGTTTTGAAACAGCTTTAAAGATAAAAAAGTGTGAGATTTGTAATAAACATGGTTAAGCCTAGGCATTAAAACAGCTAAGTATATATTCACCCCATCTGGTTCCTGACTGGGCCAATGCAACAACCTTTTCATACCCAAATGCCTCATATAGACAGTGGGAGCTGTGGTGTCGCTGTGGTTCCACCACGAGACTCACTTTGCATTCAGGAGCTGAGAAGGTCTTCATAAACCTAACCCATACTTGTGGAGGCAAAGAACAGGAGGGATGATGAATCCAGAGTTACTGATGATGGACTATATGAGTTGGGAGAAGCCTTGTGGCATTTCCACTGTTAATACAGTTGACTTCATGCTATTTATAAAAAGAATGTTGAGGCTAGGGTTCGGAATTCTAAAAAGCAAAATCCATTTACAAAACATGCATGTATACCAATGCAATTGTGGGCAGAAAATAAATGTGTGCTTTAGACAGAAGAAATGCTTGAAAATACTAGTACTGAAAGAATATATTTTCTTGGGATCGAGAAAAAATATAGATTATCCAAACTGGTACTGTACATTCTCAGTCACACTTTGTCATAGTGGCTGATCTTTTTTCTATAATTGAGGTTTCAACCTGTAATTAGTTAGTTAGTTAATTAATTGGTTTTTTTTGATTCAAGCATTTACCATGGGTACAGGTGCCACCTTAGAAGTGAAATTATTTGTTTTTCCCCCTCATATAGGAGCGAATTGCATCTTTTAAGATGATGCCTAATGTCACGGTCTGAAAGCATATGCTCCTCTCTGTGGAACCACTGTTTTAGTTATATGTAAGTTACAATCGATCACTTCAAACTCTGCAGTTAATCAAGTAAGGTTTATTCAAGATGATGATGATGATAATGAATTTCATTCAGCTTGGGACAGATCCTCTGCTTTGAATCTTTGCAGATTTGTTCATTAATCCTAAAAAGAACTGAAATAAAGATTTACTACATTTCCCCATATCCCATTCTGCATTATGCAAATCTGGAACAATTTTTAGTACTAGTGCATTGTGTCTGATGCTAAGACATGGTGGCATGAAGAACTAAAATAAATATTCATAGAATTCGAACTCCTATTCTCATATTCTGAATATGAAATGTTACTGCAAAATTTAAAGTTTGAGTACTCTAGATATAGCATCTCTGGTCCAAGTATATTTTTGCCCATATCAAATGTGGAATGCCATAAGTTGCCACTCATCAGTTACTAAACATCATTGCATGTTATCTATCAAATCATATCTGATACTAATCACCACTTTATGTCATCTAACAGATACTGTCGAATACTAAATGCCACTGCATGTCAGCTATCACTTACTACAAACTACGAAATGCCATGTATATGCCAGCTATCAAATTCTGCCAGATACAAACTATTGCATGTCCACTGTTCAGTACTGTCAGATATCAAATGCCGAGATCAAATAGCAGTAGATGTTGAATATGAATATCAAATAATCAATGTTTGGCAAATATAAAAGAATATCCAGGTAGGGTTTAAACCTGTAGTCCTTCAGAGATGGTAGATTGGATCTATTCCTCTGATGTCAGAGACAGAGATCTGACATTGGAACTTATTTATTTGTTTAGAGGAGCTGTCCAATTGCTGTACAAATTAAATTGTTTATCAAACGCAGATAAAATTCACTATATATACATAAAACCACCATAATTAAAAATAAAGATTAAACATTCAAAACAAATATAGGTAACTAAATTATGTGTCTGCATAAGTTTGCAGGGGAAAAAAACCACCCCTTCATTTTGCTGCCATCAGCTCCTCAGCCACTCTAGTCCAGCTGATCTTGCAGTTCTGACTTTGAGATGATAAAAAGGGGAATGTTGCAGCGGAGCATTAGGAAGCATATTGGGCTCAATGGACCCAAAGCCACCCCGGTCCCCTGACAAGCCCCCAAACAAGGAAGAAATCTAGACATGCTTCTGAGCTTGACAACATCTCTCCTTTCCTTTCCCCTTTGAAAAATCTGGAAAAGTTTTTTTTTAAAAAAAAAATTAAGCAGGAAATGAATAGCATTCCTCTTACCTTCCAGCTTAGGAGGGTATAGGATATATCCATTTGTTTCATCCCCGCCTTAGAATTGCACTGTACATGCATTACTTCAACATTCACCAAGGAGAATTCTGAGGAGAAATTGTGGGAGCAAGCAGATTTGCCAGTGCTCCCAAAATTAAAACATGAGAGTTCTGCTCACGCAGCAAAATCTGCTCCAGGGTTCCACAACCCTTCGGAGGAGATTGTTAGGGTGGGAGTCAGGCTGCAGGTAAGGAGGAAGTTCCATGATGCAAGCAGAAATCTGTCGCTTAAGCAGAAAGATAGCATTAGCTACGACCCATAGGTCTACTTCCTGTTTCAGCCACATGGATGCTGCCTGAAACATCTGAGTGTTGCATGTTGCCAATTGAATGTTCGTTCACCTCATAGACTGCCCTCTGCATCGTGTTGAGAATTTCTGTGTCACTGGCAACTACTGGGGATGGTGTGCAAACTCCCTTTGCAATGCAAAGCATCTCCACAGCAGGCTGCTCAACAGATTGTTCCTGTATCACGAAATATAATAAACTGTTTCAGCAAGCATCCAGTTAGCTGGTATAACCTGTAAGTTGGCTTTGCAGCATGTGCTGGTGAAGCTAAGCTCTTTCTCCCAATGCAACGTCTTCACCATGTGAAACAAGTGTTAGAAAGAGCAGCAAGCATTTCCTGGGCACTCAGGTGCTATTCCTTTTTGAAGTTGCTTTAGTCCTTGCGGTCCTGATTTTGTGACATCTCATCCATGTCTTGAAGCAAGCAGAAAACAAGGTTGCTCTTCTTTTTGATGGCTCATTTGCTTATACTATTTTGACCCCACCTTTCCTCGAAAGAGCTCATGCAGAGTGGTGTACATAATAACATTTAGCAGTGGCTTGCTGAGTCAAGGCAACAGGCAGGTCAGTGTAGTGCAAATGCGCTGGCATAGCCAATTTGCCACTCCTGCTGACCCACTTGCACCTCTCTGACCTCCCTGTCACCTCCCTCTCCTTCCTAGTAAGGGACAGTGACCCACCTGCTGAGAAGGTAGTGTGATGTGTCGCTCCCCCCCCCCGGTGAGGCACTTATGATAGCATTTCATTTTATCCTTACAAAGTCTCTTGGAGGCAGGTTAGCCTGGGAGATTGTGACTGGATCCAACTCTCTAGTTGAAGTCTTATACCCAATTCAGTTTCATCACCCTAGTTCTGAATCAGACAATTATTCCACTAAAGCGGCAGTCATAATTTTGAGCATTGTTGTATAGATAGGGAGGATAAAAGGCGTGTATGGATTGATTTTCCTAGTAGCTTTCGGAAACAGAATTTTAAAACTACACATGCCATGTTTTATATTGCTTTTATAGATAAATGCTGCATGATAGCTCTTTAATGTGCAGACTTTCTTGGGTTTCAGGGTTTACTGATTCCTGTCAACAATGCCCAACTGAGGGATTTGCAAGGCTGTCATGGATGATGTAGTACAAATGAAGTACAGTCTGCTGCAGAATTGTTGTGGAAAATTCTATACAATCTTGTAACTTTTGTTTTTTAAAAAATGGTATTGCTTCTCATGCTTGCAGTTTTAGTGCTAAATCATGAAACAATCAATCAAGGAAGTGTCAATCTGGGCACAAGTAGTGCATGCTGGGTACATGGAAGATAACATACACAGGGAGACACTTTGAGGAGTGATCAGTAAAGTTAGATTTAGCATTTGCAGGGAATTGAGAGAGTTTATTGGCCTCTGCAGTCAGTGGATGTTGTAGGTTGAATGTAGAGAGAGGTGGAAAATAAATGTCGAAAGAAATTATATCGTGAAAAGTAGGGTGTGAGATCGAATTGTAAGTTTGGATGTAAAACCCCAAAGGAGGAAATACTGTAATCAAAAATCCCCACAACCTTCATAATGTCCAAGGACACAGAGTTGTAGCCAATTAATTTCCACACAGAGTAGACTTATTGAAGGTGAAGGAGGTGAGTTAGTAATGTCCATTAATTTCAGTGGGTCTACTCTTGAGTATGAGTAACATTGAGATACAACTTGCAGTCGGAAATCTGTTAACCTTTCAGGATAAGGAAGCAGACAACTGAGAACTTATTTGAAAAGTTGGACTTGTCAATGAATTCATATAATTGTTGTGTGGCTAGAAGGGTGTGAAGCTTAACTATTCATCCATATCCCTTCCCTGAAAAAGAAAACTGAATGGATTATGGGGCATAAGAAGAGCAAGTGCAATGCACCAATCTGTGGGTACCTGTAGGACAAGTTCAGCTAAACACAGTCTTCAATTGGCGTGTTGCAACTGAAAATTCAGTGGAAAACAAAACAATATGCTTTTGGTGTGACAAATAATCAAGAACCATACATGTGTTTCCTGAACTAAGCATCCCTCACCGATGCAAACAGCATAGGAGCTGATTCATGCCTGCATGTGGTACCACTTGATAGCTCATCACTAGTTAACTTACTATAACTGAGAGCTGGCTACACATCCAGAAAAAAATAATCAGGTAAAACCCTCCTGGGTCAGCACTACTTCAGAACACAGGGGAGAGACTTCGTCTTTGAATACTCAATTATGTTAAAAATCCCCTGAGTGCAGAGAATGGGCACATAAACTAAACTTTACCAAATATGTGAGCTCTATCTGCATTCTGAAGAGGCCTGGTCCCAAGGATGGCAGGACTGTTTCTGACTATGTACATCAGCTCTCACTGACTTGCAGCTGAAAGTGTGGGTTGCTTTCTTTGAAAAGTATTGTGATTTGAGGTGATGTGAAGTGATATGAAAGCTGTGCCTACAGTGTTTGATCTGTGATAGCTGTTTCAAAGAGAAAAATGTTGCAATCACCCATATGAATCTGCTTGGGACCTAAGATTGTTCTTTGGTCCACCACTTAGGCTGATCGATTTGCTAAGTAACAGGACAGGGCCTTTTCAGTGGTGACCCTACACCTGTGCAATTCTATTTCCTGAAAACTCTCCTTGGGGCCCCTCTCTTGTGGCCTTTAAGAAACCCATAAGCACCTCTATTCCACCAGTCTTTTTAATGATCTTATTACTGGACCCCTATATATAATTTTACTAAAAGGTTTTTTGTTTCAATCATAGGTGTGTTCAGCTGTTTTAACATCATTATAAGAGATTGCGTTTTAAGTATTGGCCTTGATAGGGATTGCCATACACACACATATTTAGATATTCGATCAGGACTCAGTTAACACTTGGGAGGGGGGGAATCAGCTGAGTATGCAGCTGAATGTGAGTCGCTCCCAGCAAACATTAGAATGAACATGCATAGAGAGTGAGAAGAGCCTGCTATTCTAATGCCACTCCTTCAAACCCACATTCACTGAGTCCTGTCTGAATGTCTGAAAAGGGCTGTTCAGTGATATACAAATCAGGGATGGGGAGCCTATGGCTCTTCAGATGTAGTTGGGCTACTGTTCCCATCAGCCTTCAGCGTTGGCTGTCTGGATGAAGCTGATAGGAATTGGAACCTAAACATCTGGGGGCCCATAGGTTCTCCATCCCTGGTGTAAACCACTCCTAAGTCACTCATTGGTATGGGAAGGAGTTCTGATGCTCAGCTGGCCCAAGACTGTACAACAACTATGATGACATGCTTCACTCATGATGTGTGACCAAAAACCAGTACGGGTGGGGCTATGATCTGGCCAACCACTGGACTGCTTTCTTTATCTCTCAAAAATAGTATACGTTTAGCTGCTGAGTAGCAAGGTGTTTTTCCTATGACTATTTCCTGCATACAAATAAATGACTTTATGTGGAATTATTTTGGTTGTCAGGGTAACAGGGGATGAAGCCTCCCTTGCTTCACTTGGCCCAAACTGTTCAGAAATACCGATTTAGGTCGTCTTCATTAAAACTGTTATGCTGTTATTAAAACATTCTTTCTCAATGTTATTTAACATGGGTGATGGCATGCATTCCTGCTATGGGGGACAGAAAGTGTCATGGTTTAATGAACGGGTGGTGTAAACTGAGAGTTGCTCCACTACAAAAGCGCGATCCTCTGCCAATATAAAATGACATTTATTCATTTTTTGGTTAACATTCTAGTCAAAGTTAAGCACTTCTTAAAGACCTCCTGAATAGATGACAATTCAGCACATGCTTAACTTTGACACTGATATCCCAGGGGTTGAAAAGTACTGAATTTTGGCTGGATTGTCTCTTATGTTCTGCAGCCAGGATAGCCAACATGGTGCCCTCCAGATATTGTTAGATTACAGATCCCACCGCCCCTGACCACTGGCACCATATTGGCCACCTGGTCCTACAGGGCTCGATTTATGGGGGAAAGCTACTGGGAGCCTTAATGAAACCCACAAGCAATTTCCCCACTAAATTGCCCATCTCAGTAGCCTTATGACACAAAAGCAAAGGGGGCCATACAAAATGTACAACCAGAATGTCCCACATCTGCCTCCACATACGGTAATTTGAGCACCAATCTTTTGATTTCAACAGAAGTGCATTCAGTAAATAGTATCTTTGGAAGGCAATAGTTTCCTGTACGTTTGGTTACCAGTGTTTTACAAATGGGCTGAAAGGACAAGTTCTCCATTTCCTTATTGAGAAAGTCCCCCCCCCCTCTTTGTAACAATTATGCTGGAATTCAACATTTGTTGGTTTATGGAAATAAATATCTAAGTTTCCTTCCCTCAACAACCCGCCGCCATCCCAATTTTTTTATACTGAAATGAATGTTGTGTTTATGAGAGCTTGCATTTAGATCTGTTGCCTTTGAATGATTCAACACATAAAGCCTACTAGCTGCAGAAAAGCCTTACTTGTGCTTTGCTTTTATTTGAAGTTTTAAAGAAAGAATGGGAAAAGGGTGCCTCCAATCTATATTCTTCTATGGAGAAGAATGCCTATTACATTTTAGCCAGAAAACCAGCTAGCCATACATTTTTTACCTCATTCTTGCTATTCTTGATCTATTGAAGTAACGGGTCATTAATGTCGCACTCGAACTCACATTGGGAATGTAAACAAAGTCCAGAATCCTGTTCTCACCGGGGCCAACCAGATACCTATGGGGAGCCTGCAAGCATGACCAGAGCTCAACTGCACTTTCCTCACCTGCAATTCCCAGCAACTAGCATTCAGAGGCCTACTTCCTCCAACAGTGAACGTGGAACATAGCCTTCATAGTGGCCATTGATAGCCTTAACCTCCATCACAGGAAACATGTAGTTTCTAAGGATTATTGGATTAGAGAGCAGCTTTAATACTTTCCACTCTTGCGCAGCCGTTACTTGTGACTATATGCCTGAAATGACTACTTCTTCATGTACACAAATCAGCTGATAATGATACTACATTATTATTACTACAGGGAACGGTAATTAAAATGTTTGTAGTTCGGTCTTTGTGGTATCAGGAGCAAATACAAAGTCTTACATTTCCCTTGCTATGCTTACTGTGCTTTCTGATCAGACGTTCGTTGCTTTTTTATTTTTTAAAGGTAATTAAAGCGCTGTTTATTTTGATGCTTGCATTAACTATTATTTGTAACTCTTTTCTTCTGAAATTAGAACACACCCCGGGGGCTTTATCTGCAGATTCTTGGCTAGAAACTGCTACATAAAACTTACTGGAAAAGAAACCTGTTGAGTTTCTGTTTAGAATCTGGTAAAGCGTTCTGGTTGAAGAAAAGTAGGTAAGTATGATTTTTCTTTTGTCCCCCTTTTTCGTTGTACTTATGCTTGAAAGTTGCAAAGGTACATTAGGGTTAAGAGCTCCAAGTGAAATGAATGGGAAGTTAAATAGTTTATACTTAGTGGGATAGTTCCTTTGGGCTATAGCCAATGTTAGTCATGCTGAGAGTATGACTAGCAGTGGAGATCACCCATAGATTTTAATTTAGTTATTTTATCTTGTACTAATTTATTGCAGATTAGGGTGTTGCTGAATGTTGAATGGGATTTGCTTTTAATGACTTTTTATCTATATCACAAGGAAAGAGAACAGCCCTATTAAAGTGAATGGAAATGCCCTGTATTTGTAAGTTACAATGCGAAATGAGCTGGAAAAGCCTTCCATTTAGCATTTTGGATTTTAAAAAAGCATGTCCAATAGCTAATATTTTATCATTAGTGAATCTATACAATATTTTGGATTTAAAGTGGCAAAAGGAAGTTTGGGATGGAGATAAATCTGTGCATGTTGATTTTCCTGACCATGCTGTTTTTGGCGCTTGGATCCTGGTGTTTGACTTATTAAAATGGATGCTATTCTATACTGATTAGAAATAGTTTGCTTTTTAATTGGATTTTTTTAAATATACAGTGTTTAGATTGTTTTTGTATATTCATTTTTATTTTGCTGTGACTGTGGTGCGTGTCTGTTTGCCCATAGTGGTGGGATACAATTTCAATAAATACATTGCCATGTGGCAGTCATAACTGCTTGTTGCCATTATATTATGATGATATATCAGTGCCTAATAGAATGCTCTTAGTAATGTTTAGTGCAGAGTGTGCTCTAATAGCCAGCAAACAGCTGCAGCAAGAAATAAGCAATCGCGTTATGGCTGGAAAGTTGTGAGTGATGACTAGAGGAGATGAGGGTGATGAGGGTGACATAGCAGCAGCAATGGAAGAGCAGCACATATTTTGAAGACCTGAATAATTCTATGACCGGATGTAAGAGGGTTGCAATATTTTCAACCATTTAGACTGCATTATTTGCAGAACAAGCTATTCTGTAGCATTACAAATAGAGAAAATATGGTAACTATGACTTGCTTTCTTTTAGTTTTATGAGGTGGGTGCCTTGGGAATTTCTTCCATGTTTAAAATGAATTGTGAGGACTCATTTGACTTGGAGGATTAAAAATCTAGAAGAGTGTTCTCAGGTTGTGCATGCATTTTTAAAGGAAGGTGTGCTATAGTTTTGCTACTAAGCTTTATATACAGGGATGGTCTTCTGTTCATGGAAGCCTTTTTGATCCAGTGGAGGTTTTCATCAATGATTTCTCTCGCACCCCCTGCCCCCCCACAGCTACTTGTGCCCTCAAGTCTACTAGGGGTTTGGGAAAGAAGTGGTGTGCAGGGCACTGCAGAAAAAATGGGGAATGTGCAAATAGCCTTTTGCCTCCTCCATTGGATCAAAGAGCTTACCGTTAATGGAGAAACAGCAGTGGGTGTTACCCTATAGCTTCACTATATTTTAGACATAGGTGGGTTTCTTAGGAATGAACTCTTGAATTTCAAATATAATGGTTTGTATTCAATGAAGTTTTCCTGTTAGTGCCAGGACATCTGCCTGTGCAGTGGTACGTTCTCTCCTTCTCCTCTTCCCATGTCCCCAATATCCCCAAAGTCTCTTTTGGGTTTCTTCCTCCCTTATAGAACAGATTTGGGTGGGCAGGGTGCAGCCCTATGCACTTGTCCCTGATTGGCCTTGTGGGCAAGACCAGCCCCAAATGGAAAGTTCGGTACGGCCAGAGGTGGGTGGCAACCAGTGGCCATCTCTCTCCCCCCTCCCCGCCACACAGGAAGATGATGGCCTCCCAGGACCAGCTGTGCTGTGCAGCAAATGCCACCCCCAACTGGAGCTCCAGATGAATGGATTCCCCCCCACCCTCCAGAGCAGATTTTGGAAAGGTGTGGGAAGAGGTGGGAAGAGGAGAGGGAGAGGGAGTCTCACTATGCAGGCGGAAGTCCTTGCATTCATTGCATTGGATAAAACCAGTATGAGAAGTCACCCTTTATTTGGCCACAGTTTCTCTGGATCCAAGAGGAAGAAAGTGGATTGAACTGCCAAGCTCCTCATTAGCTTCCAAGAGGCTGAGATTCCACATTGCAGAACGTGAGGAAGAAACTGTTTTATTATGATTCATATTGATAAGGATTCTGAAAACGCCACTGTTCTGAAACATCACCTCAAATTAAAGCTATATGGGAGCGAGCATGTAAAAGTGAGAGTGTAAGTGCATTCATAGAGTTACACCAATATCAAAAGTGAGATGCGTATCACTTTGTGTTGTGCCTCCCATTGTTAGGCAGTTACCTGCTGTGATAAGCAAAAAACCAATAAACTGTGACATCTCTATGAAAGCAGTGTAGCATGTTCAGAAGCCCGTTTGAAAGATGCTGTGTGTGCATTTACCATAGGTGCCAGAGGGATTCTTCCTTGGGATATAGCAGGACCAGCATGCATGAAGTTTAATCCCCTCCATTTGTTGTTTTCTTCATGTTAATACAGCTTCTAATGAAATCAGAATGTCAACCAGTGGCAGTTCTCCACCAATATAGAGAAGCATGCATTAAAGATACCCACAAAGGACAAGTGATTTGAACCAAGGTACTTTTCATTTTGCTGGTCAAAGAAAGGATATTCTTGTCAGAAGGAAAGGTTCCCGAAGGGTAGCGTGGTTCAGAGATGTATAGCTGCAGATTAAATAATAAGCTCTAGAAATGAGATCTGAGTTTCTAGTGAGTTCAGTGAACCAGAGCTTCATTTTATGCTTTTTATGGTCGTCATCCTGAATGGTGCTGTGACATTTTGCTCCATACTGAAAAGCAAAGGAGTTTAAGATTATAAGAATTTTGCAGCAGAAGATCTGGGCCTTCTCTGAGATTACTGTATCTGTTCTGCATAAGAAGGCTGAATTTTGCATATTTTATAGCTAAGGGTTGAAATGAGCTGAAAGTATAATCTATTTGTTCTTTTTGCATTCATGACATATGAACTGCACATTTCTATAGTCAGAAAATGTACAGGATAACCTGGATTGATGCAGAAAAAGATGGCTGATAGCCTATTTAAGGAGTGTGTGCCATATTTTATTATGTCCCAAATAAGAAAATATGATGCTTCTGACAAATATTATTATGGCAATAATCCTTCTGTCTCATTTCAAGTTGTATGGTTTAGGTATTATGGAGCAA